CACACACACACACACACACACACATATATATATATATATATATTACAATATATATTACAAAATATATATATATATATATACGAACATAATGCGATAGCCAAAGTTGTGAATCATTATTTCTGTAGCGTAGAGAATCGTAAAGCACCATGTATGATCCTAGCTGGGAAATTGAGAAAAAGACGAATATACATCACTGACAAAATGGTATATTAAGATAGCATTTATAACATACTCTTCTCGCTTGAACTTGGCTTCTTGGTCTTGTACTATCCGGTCGCTGTAAAGAGGCATAATATCGGAAGGACTGAAATGTATGCAATGGAAAAGTTTATATTCGTGTGAACTGAGAACTTGGGAAGTAAATAGAGGTTTTCAGTGCATTAAACTATCATATTTATCGCGCGTTGTGTAAATATATTAAAAAGCATACTACAAATCACACACACTTTTATTTATTTATTCCTCGCAACTTTTTTGTCGCGCGAGGAAAGTCAAAAGAGGTGACTGTAAATACATATCCTAAATAGATGTCAAAAATCTATGACACTTCCGACACTCTTGAGTGACACTTTGACACTGACATTTTATGCTAGGCAACTCTCAGCGAGAAAAAAAAGAACTGTTTTTGTACCAACGAGTTTGTGGAAAATATTTTTCATGATGAGGCAGATCCACAAAACGACACATCCATGATCCATATATTGGTAGCACACACCCATATATATCGTATATAAATACAACAGAAGTGTGTAGTTTATATTTGTCTAGCGACATTGCTTCATAATGGGTTTGTATATATCAAAGGTGTTTAACCAGCTCGTGGGGAGCAAGGAGATGAGAATTCTGATGGGTATGTACAGACACGTACTGAATAGATTGAGGCATGTCTTCTATTCGCAGGAAGCGATTCTTTTATTGCATGTCAAGTGCACACTATAAATAGTTTGCGTCAGTATTTCCCCCCAAGAATAAAGGTACTAAAGTATACGTGATATGGATTTATATGTAAAAAGCTGAACCTAACTGGTACTTCAACATGCTAGACATGAAATTATATATCAACATCTTGCAGTTGCAACCGCCGTTTGCATCATTTCGTTTGAATTCTTTCCAGTACCAAGTGAAAGACACTGTATTCAGGCTGAGACTGTTATATGCTTTAGAATAGAAACGGCGGTATCGTGAACGAATTTTGTATATTTCATTTGTACTTATATATATCAGTGTATGTATTTACACATACTTCATAAGGTGCTCACCGCAATATTGCGCTATTGTCATATCTACCAGTCGGACTTGATGCTGCCGGTAAGACCACAATTCTGTATAAACTGAAGCTCGGTGAAGTGGTAACCACCATTCCCACTATCGGATTCAATGTGGAAACAGTGGAGTATAAGAACATCTCATTCACAGTATGGGACGTTGGAGGCCAGGACAAGGTGAGTATAGCTTTGGCGTGTGAGGTCTCGCATAGGGAAAATGCTTTACTTATTCTTAATGGATATTTTGCACTTAATGTATATCACAGCCAGAGCAGTATGTTTTACATACAGCACATGCTTGCTGATAATTGTCGTGCTCATACAAAAAGTGTTCTTAATTTCCACTAGAGCTGTGTGCAATACTTATATAGGTATCTGCGCGCGTACAATTAAATATCTACTCATTTTTCGAAAGTATAATAATTAGGATATATATATATATATATACACACACACACACATATATATATATATACA